TTTAACACAATGTACGATACACTTAGATGATTATATTGTTAACAATGGTAATAATTAATGATATATGTTAACAATGATAATAATTAATGATATATGTTAACAATGGTAATAATTAATGATATATGTTAACAATGATAATAAATTAATGATATATGTTAACAATGATAATAATTAATGATATATATGTTAACAATGATAATAATTAATGATATAATATGTTAACAATGATAAATAACTTGTCGTCGATGACTCGTCCTCAGATCCTCGCTCGGTTGCTGCTGCTGCTGCTGCTGCTGCTGTTGCTGCGGTGGCGCCGTCTGGGGGGCGGAGGCGGGCGCGGGTTTTTTCGGCGCCGGCTCGCCCGATGAGTTACTGTCGAGCATGATCGGGGGGATCTGGTCGCGTTGTCGGTGCAACATCGCCTGCGAAAGCAAACCGACCGTTTCCGTGGCGACTCCTGGGTTCGGCAGACGACGCGGTTATTTTTAGGGGTTGGGGACGATTCATCGATGTATCGTGATGCAGAATACATGTAGCGATACGCTACTGAATAAAATAAATCAATAAATAAAATAATATCAAAAAAAATAAATCAATAAAATAAATCATTTGGTAGTAAAGCTTCATCAGGAAATAAAACAAGAAGCATGACACACTTCGCAGTTCCGTAGCAGTTGTTGACTAAGCGCTTCAAGACACTCATTCGCAAGCGTTCATCACACGATTGGTAGAGTAACGGCTAAGTGTATCGTTTGCAGTGTAGTTTCTCGTGAAAGTATTGCGATAGCTATCGTGTCGTGAAAGGTGTATGGTAATGCACATCGTATCATGAAAGGTGCAACACTGCATGGTGATACGCACTGTATTGTGAAAGGTGCATGGTGATACGTATTGTATCGTGAAAGGTGTATGGTGATACGCATTGTATCATGAAAGGTGTATGGTGATACGCATCATATCGTGAAAGGTGTATGGTGATACGCATTGTATCGTGAAAGGTGTATGGTGATACGTATTGTATCGTGAAAGGTGTATGGTGATACGTATCATATCGTGAAAGGTGTATGGTGATACGTATTGTATCGTGAAAGGTGTATGGTGATACGCATCATATCGTGAAAGGTGTATGGTGATACGCATCATATCGTGAAAGGTGTATGGTGATACGCATTGTATCGTGAAAGGTGTATGGTGATAC